GGGGGGGAGGGCTGTCAGCGGGGTTTCTTGGTGCTGCGTAAATAAGAGTGAGGTCCAAGGCCGCTGCCCCGGCTGTGTGTTCTTAGTGTACTCTTTGCCTTTCACTTGTCCCCGTGAAACGGGCGACAGAGCAGTCTGGGAGGTGCTGAGAAGATCTGAGCGGGTGGCACCGTCCTGTTAGACGCCTGGCATGTGAAGATAGCAGCAGTGCTCAGGGCTGAACGAACACAAACTTCACCTAGCTTAGTTGCAAGGAAGGTTTCCCACAGCACAAGGATGCATTAAGTAATCCTGCGTTTTAATAGCTAAGCCTGATCTGAGCAGTCAAGTCTTTCAAAGTCAGAACGAGCGTCTAGCAAGACATTTTCATATGTTACTGTTTCCAGAGCATACAGGTTTTAGAGGAGGCCTGGAGAGGTATTTTGTCTCCGCTATGCTTGCTGTCTCTCCATCCTTCTGTTCCTTCCCACTGCTCTCTTCCCTTACTGTGTTTGTGACTGTAGTTTTTAATCAGATATGACAATGTAGACGGTTACTTCTGCCTGCGTTGGATGTATACCAGCTCAGTGTGAGCTGTAGCTCAGTGTGAAAAGAGCACGCAAAAGGATCAGATATGCTAACTTCAGAGCAGGACATCCTAGAAAAGTCATCATCTATAACCCTTAGTTAGACAAATACTAAATAATCTTTTTGATAAAAGCATATGTTTAACTGCTAACTAAAGCTGTTTTGCTACTGAAGTCTGCCTTTCCAAGTGTATGTTTTCTTTACTTTATACTACAATTATCCAAGTCTTTGACCAGCTGGGCTCAAGTAAAAGAGAAAAGAGGGCATTTTCAATGTTAACCTTGCATTTTTTTCAAATTTCTTGATGTGGCATCCCTTATTGATGAAGGGATGAATTCTTAAGAATGTTCTGGCATCGTATTTTTTTTTTCCTTTGAAAGCATTGTACTTTATATTTTAAATAGCAAAGAATTATAATGTATAAAAGAGAAGTAATTTAACAGTAAAAGGACATTGTATAGCAACAAATATTCCACAGTGTGCTGTAGGCAAGGTTTCATCTTATTAAAATGTTGATATCCATTGCAGTCCTACTAAAAATAGCAAAAATCTCATTTGCTTACATCCGAGATTAATGTTTCATTGCTTTTATCTTTGTTAGTTATTTACATGCTGAGCTTGCAGATGACTCTCTGGAGGAAGTGGCCTGCTTGTATAGGAAAGTGATTTTACATCTATGGAAAAGCAGGGGTAAGTTACTACCCCTAAGGCCAACTACTAAGGTTTGGCAGTATTTTACACTATATTTGCATAGTGTAAAGTACTGTACAGCACACAATGTAATAGAAAAGCATTTATAGTGACAATAAAAATGGGGCCTTAATTATTTCATGGATGGTTTCAGTAATTTAAAATTGGTGGAAACCAGATAGAAATACCTTGTTAAAGAGTATTACTAAAGGTAATAGATTTATTCATAAAACTTGACAAGCTCAAATAAATCAAATTGACCTTGATCTCCACCTAGAAAATCATGTATTTCCTATTTTTAATGGAAAAATAAGCCTACTAGATATTGCAGTCTTCTAAATTTTAAAGTCTGATTGTTATCAAGATCTGTTCACACTTTAACACAGCTTTATAATAACATATTTTACAATTAATTCCACAAGGAGGGATATGGGCCAGCTCCTTTTATTGGAGGTATTTTAATTTTAAACATAAAGTGCGGAAGAATTGCCTTTATCTCTTGCATTGCTGAAAAGGAGTCAATACATAATAACAGATTTCAGTGCCCTTGAAAAGGGAGGGATACAGAACTGATGATTTGCTGGAGTATAGCAGATCCGAAACACTAGGTGGAGAAGGAATCTCACAGAGTATGTGTTTCTTTGGAAGAAGAGTTTTCTGACATCAGGGAGATCATCTTGAGATTGGAGAGAAATTAATATCTTCAGCAAAATGAGCATATCTGTATTTGTAAATACATACATGAAAATGATCCACATTGTCCGGAAAATGCTTGGAGAAGTAGATTGTTCTACTTCTCTTTCAGTCCCTACAGTTAATTTATCCACCTGTTGTAACTTGTTATAAAGTGAATTATGTACTCTCTGGAGCAGGGACTATTTTTCATTGTAAGTCTTCTTAGCACCTTGATCTTAATCAATGCCTGTAGGCATTTCTGCAAAACAGCTATTAAGTAACAATCCAAGTTGATCACATGCACGTCATGCTACTTCAGAAGTCAAATAAATGTGCAGACTGCACAGGTGTTCAAGGTGTTAGGAACAGAGTAATGGTATCTAAATTAGTGGGAGTGTAAGACAGCTGACACATTCAACTTCTGATAATTGAAGGTAAGGGTGAAGCAAGGCTCTGATTATCCTGTAGAAGCCTTGAATGAGGGAGGTGTACAGCAAGAAGTGTATGTACTTTCTTTTCAAGTATGTAGCTAAATAGGGAGAATGTGGTGTTGTTAGATGACAGGTGAAAATAACTGCAAGATAGTACGAGGAAAAAATGGAAAAAGCTCGAGCCATGTGCAGACTTTGTAATGCAAGATAAGGAGGTGCCTAATTTCTGTGTTGGGGTAATTTCACGTACTGATACTTTTCTCACTTCCTAACTTGTCTACAGCTCTGAGTTCTTTCTGGCTCAGCATTCCTTAGGTCATGAAAACAACTGCACCTTCAGCTTCTCTGGGCTAAAAGCCTTCTCCTCTTTCTTTGATACTGATTTACCAGGGTAAATAGTAATACATGATTTTCTACATATGTTTCATACGTGTAGTCTACATATATTTTTCACACAGAAGAGGTACTGTGGGACACAGCTTTGTGTTTCAAGAAAAAGAAGCGGCACCTGCATAACGCGCAGCTTCTTCACTGTGGTAAAATAGGAATTTTTTTTTCAATTCCTAAGTGATCCAGGGATAATTGTGGTTCCAGGCAGGCTTGGGGGCCAGGCCTCCAATGCTGCAGCTAGTAACTGCCTCTATGAAACTTACATAGTCCGTATTAGGGATACGGACCATGAAACTGGTTGAAATGTTGCCAAGAAAGAATTGGCATAAAGTGGAAAGAGAAGACTCTTGGAAATTTTAATATTATTACTCAGCAGAGACTTAGGTTAGCTTTTAATATACATCACTGCATTCGCTGCAGGAGCTATCTCACAGTGCCCAGAAAACAACAAAAGTGGAAAGGATCATCGAATGTCCACCTGCAAGGCTGCACGTGTACTTCACAAATAAACATCTTTCATACACAAATAGCAATTCATGGAAATTAAAAGCTAGCAGTTCTTGAGAGGTTCACTCTAGCAAGACAGTAAATCAGAGTTTCACTTAGTGCTGGTCATTTTAGAGGTAAATTCCATTCAGGTAGATAGGACTGTTGTTATACAACCACATCAGTGACACAGCAGATGAGAAATCCTTTCCAAAGCAAAGCCAGTGAGCTTGAATTTCTGTGGTCAGCTAAGCACAATATTCCTTTTGTTTTGATTAAAT